CCCCAAAACCCCAAAACCCCAAAACCCCAAAACCCCTAAACATCGTAAATTTATTGACCAATTAGTTATAAAATTGCATAAAATACTCTATTTATGAAAAAGCTTCTCCAAGGCTCTCTCCAGGTTCTTATTGGTTGTTTTTCATTCTCTCTTCTTAGCACTGCTTGACTCTGAACTAGAATTCTTTCCTATATTAACAATCTTAACCAAATTCACAAGAAATCTGTACCCCCTTCGAATGCAGTATAATTCCAGTGTATAATCTCCCAACACGACTTACCTGCCACTATGATGCCAACTAATTCAAGTTTGCTCTTCTTCAAGATCGAGTCTCAAGCTAATATGGAATCTCAATCCTTCACTGGTATAAGCTTGGCTTTGCTCCCACCAATTTTGATGTCTTTATTTGAAACTATTCTTAATAACCTTCTCAAGACTCCTCTTTCTCTGAGAGTCTCTCAAGTCTAAAATTGCTTCCTTGTTTTTGAGGAAATTAGGAGTCTTGTTCTCCTTGTCTTCGTTGTTCTTTTCTAGGGGTTCTGGGGCTTTCTCCTCTTCGTACTCAGTTATCTTATTTCCGCTTCTGTGGGGTGATATAGCTCTCGTGGTTCTCTGAGAGATCACTCTCGAGAGACAAATGTTTGGGTGGAGACTCCTTCATAGGGTTTTGAACAATATTCATGGAAACCTCTTGGTCCTGAGGAATACTCTCACCAAGATTTTGGTTCATATAATTAATTTTACTAAGACTTGCTTTGTCCAGCTCTGAAGGATGTTGGCAAATCATGCTCTGGTTCGCTTCTTCAGACTCTTGTTTCTCAATAAATTTTGCTGTGTAACATCTTTCTTCCTCTTCGATCTCTTGGTAATTGAAAACTCTCTTTGACGGAGGGTTCATGACCAACGTGGTTGATTTATTTTGGTTCTATATCACAGTTATTTCACAAAACATGTATTTTTCGAAGCCAAATATAATTTGCTATTATCAAACACTTATATTGCATGCTTTCTGAATTTTACTTACTATTGAGTTTTTCTTGCATCAAATTATCTAAGATCTTATCCATCCTAGTCAGTCTATCTTGAATATTCTTCCTCTCAGGAGTTTCCAATACTAAATCTTGGGAATCAACAACTCTAGGAGATTCATCAATTTCAGAATTCTCGCTTGGAAGCCCATGATTTACTTGAGAGTTAAGCTCTTCGTTTATCTCGTCTATCTTCTCATAATATTCCTTCAAATTATCTGCGTAAGAGCTCAGTTTATGCTGATTAGTCCCAATATGGGAGATGTAGTCATTATAGTCATCATTTCAAACACATCAAAAGAAGTTGTCCTTCTTTGGTTTAGGCTCTATTATCCTGGTCTTTGGACAATCTCTCATGTGCTTGTTCATCGGCTCTTTAGTAACAACACACTTCTTCCTAAATTTCTCTACTTTTGCAAGATGTCTTCGCTCAATTTCGTGAGAATTTTTCTTCGTCTCTTTGTACTCAGCGGGAGTCTGGAAAATGCTTGTTCCTTGAGGGGCATCTAGTGATAGCTGGGGCACTTCAAATTTATGAGTTTGATGATTATATGAAAATTGATGGAACTCCATTCTTCTTCTTAGTTTCATGAAAATCTTCCCTGAAGTAACAATAAAACATCCTTTTCCATTAATCACAGACCGTAAAAGGCGGCAATCATCTCTTTTGCTGTGCCATTTGAACTTTGTAAAGGAGTCATAGTAGTCCAGGACAGAGAATAAATCTCTCACTTTTATCATAGGGATGGCTTTCTGCCTCATCTCATCAAATTTTTGGTGACTGATCTCCTCTCGATTTTTAATAAAAGATTTACTATCATCAATAAATCTCTTGTAAAGAACTTTATCTGTCAAGCCTTGAGGATCAATATAGCTATTTTGGCTTTTTAAATCACTAAAATCCGTTGCATTCTTCCCACTTTGTATCCTAGAATTATTCCGAAGAGGTATTTTACAGTTTCTCTCAATAATTTCTTCGACTAGATTATCACTAACAATGGCTAGGATATTCCCCGCCTTAGGAATCAAAGCAATTTGGCCACCATACTCCTCAATACGTTTGGAAAGATCTTTCCTGAACTTGCTGTCAAAATTCGGAAGATAGATGAAGAACGTCATGTCCTTAAAATCGAATCTCTGCATTAGTCTCGTTTTGCTTTCCTTAAGGTCTTCAATAAGTCTTTGAGATTTCTGCATTTTCAATTTTTTAAATTAATGATCAAAATTGTTTTAAATCATAATCTCAATAAATACAAGTATCAAGGGGTTTTGGGGTTTTGGGGTTTTGGGGTTTTGGGG